TAGTGTTGTGATAAGATTACCACTGTGTTACCTATCCCACTACTGCGTTACTTTTTGTCCCTCTTTTCCTGAATACGTTAAGAGCTCTAAAGCTTTAATATAATTTTTAAACAATATAAATTTGATATTTTTTTGTTTATCTACCATATTTCAACCTATACTATAAATATTGAGCTGAAATTGCAATTATTAAGGCATATTTTGAGATATTACAGTAGTTTAAATGAAAATAACGTAACGCAGTGGTAAATTTAATTAGAAAATAAGATATTAGACTGAGATGATCGGGATTTTACATTAAAAGATTATTGTAATACTTGTTTAACTTTATGTCTGGTAGGTTTTTAAAATTGACGTGAAAGTTCCTACAATAAAACTGATTATTCTAAGTAAGTAACACAGTTGTTGTTTTTCTACTCCTTTCCTTGTATTTTTATCAAATAAAACAATAAATCGTAAAAAAGCATCGCTGCTAATGCCTGTACTGTTTACTTTAATTATTGATAGAACTAAATTAAACCAAAAAAATTAAAAAACTAATAATTTGTTATAATATTATTTTAACGACACAGTTTATCAATTTGGGGCCTGAAAAAAAATAATGGCCCATATGCGTAATTAAAGCCTTGTAACAATTGATAAAAGTACTTCATTGTCATTATACATAACATAACATCACGCCTTTTATCCCCGAAGGCGTAGGCAGAGGTGTACATTACGGCACTTAATGCCACTCTACAATGTAACACCCACTTTTCACTATTTATGTTATGAGTCCCATGTAACAGGGGGTGAGCCTATTACCATTTACCGGACACAGTTTCAGACTCCGTGCTACTACTGAGATTTTTTTTTAAATCCCAGTAATATTTTGCCCGACTCGGCAATCGAACCCGAGACTCCTGGCAGTCGCACTTGCGACCACTTGGCCAACGAGGCAGCCATTATATACATTAATCGAATCAAATCAATACAATATTATAGGTCAATTTGTTAAAATCTTTGTAGGTAGGTATCTAGGTACATGAATTAATAATTTATGATTATCTATTGAAATATTTATGCCATGGCTTGCAGTGGTTTATATTGTAAGATAATGGGGATTTATTGTTATTCATTTATTTCAATAATTAATCAATGAAATGAGGCTAGATTTGTTAAAAATATTAGGTAAAATATTGTATACCGTGTCGAATGATGATCGATGACGCTAGCGGAGGAGTTTTCATCGGCCGTTAAAGCTTAGTATTAAAACTGAACATAGATTAACATACCCGAGAAGCAATTTTTCTGAACTATTTTTTTACTGAACGGATTTTGATGAAACATTTTTGGTATACAGGCAGGGTATGGGCTGACTTAGGTGATAGGATAGGATACTTTTATCCTGATTAAATTCTTTCATAAAATAAAGCAGGAATCATATTCCACGTGGACGAAGTCGCGGGCAACAGCCAGTAGGCTATAAAACATCACTTTACGATCAAAATAAATCGAGTAGCATGTGAAATCGTAGGTAGCTAGTGCAACATAATTAGAGAAGAAGTCTACATCCATTTACCTGTGGTATGCCGGAACGATAATCTACGCGAGACACAATATCTTTTCTATTGTGTCACATATACTGTCATTCAAGCGGTTAAGCACGTCTGTTCACCTCTGTCTACCCCTTGTCAAGAATCACGTGATCCTCCGCAATGTTAATTAGTGTACATGCTAATTACAAGCCCACATGGTTGTACTATTGACATTCGAAGCAAATAGTACTAATTACAGTAAATGATTCGACTTTGAAGAGATTGTTCAATGCTTATTTCTAATCGTATGAGGCAAGGGCGCCAGGTAAGGGGTCTCAGGTTCGATTCCCGGGTCGGGCAAATTATTACTAGGTTTTAAAAAAAATCTCAGTAGTAGCACGGAGTCTGGAATTGTGTCCGGTATATGGCAATAGACTCACCCTCTATTACATGGGAGTCATAACATAAATAGTGAAAAGTGAGTGTTACTTCTGTGTGCAACTCTGCCTACCCCTTCGAGGATAAAAGCCGTGATGTTATGTTATTGTTATGTTAGTTATTCAATAAAAATTTAGGACGTTATAATTCACAATCACAATCCCTAAATTGTGATGCGTGATGTCTAATGACTAACTTAAGATTTGCACATCCCGTGAGTCATATTCTGATTTTGATAAAAGAAAATATAATGTTGATAATAATGAGTAAATTGTAATTATGGCGCAATTGAAGGAAAGTAGGGCAAGCTGAAACATAACATTACGATTGTATTTCACGGTAGACACGTATTAGAAGTCTTTCTAGGTTGGATACACCTTGGGGTGTCGTACAAGACTAAGATATTGTAGATGAGGAGGAGGAGATATACTCCGTGGTATTATGAAATAACCAAAATATGTCCAAAGTAAGTACATAATTTATGGTTACTTACATGTAGGTGTATCGCTTACCCCCAGGCAAGATAGAAGTCAAACGTCGTCGGCCCATCAAATATAGAGAAAAGGTATATTGGATATTAATATCTATGTAAATGATTTTTTATACTACTTTGTTGGCCCAGTGGTCGCACGTGCGACAGCCAAGCAAGGGGTCCTGAGTTCGATACCTGGGCAATTTATTACTGAGATCTTTAAAAAAAATCTCAGTAGTAGCACGGAGTCTGGAATTGTGGCCGGTATATGGCAATAGGCTCACCCCCTATTACAAGGGACTCATAACATAAATAGTGACAAATGAGTGTTAGTTGCATTGTAGCATTGAGTATCGTAATGTGTACCTCTGCCTACCACTTCATGGATAAAAAGCGTGTTGTTATGTATGCTATGATTTTTTATATTATGTTAGGTTATATAAAACAGCTAGAATGATAGTGATAAAAACACAATGCTTTACGTGTTTCTCCGGATGTGATGCGACCTCTACCAATGACGGTTTCAAGGCGAAAATACTTATTGCAGAATAAATATTTTCAATGAAATGCTTAAATTAATCGTTTTCTATTATTTACTTATGTATTTTTTAATAGTTAGGTAATATTTCATGACAGCTCTTATAAGTAATTGAGGATTTATTTATGTAAATAAAGACTTAATAGGTTTGGCGATTTATATTGAACGGGTGTATTGTAATAAGAATTTATATAGGTAGTTTCAAAATTTCAAACGCGCCGGCCGTCAACAATGCGAGGTGATAGCTGATCTGCGACCTCCATAGGAGAGATCAGCGGGCGACTGATTAGGGGAGGCAGTCGTCCGCTGTATGGGCGGGAGTAGGCGTTAGCGGTGTGTTCACGCGCGCCACTCGAGGAAGGAAATCGCAGCTTTTGAGGGCTACTACGTGGTGGGACCTGCCGCAATATAGTGGTAGGTCGAGGCCTGCCGGGTGTGGTGAA